ATTTGAGGAAATTGAAACGGAAATTCTCTCTCACCTGTTTCCCCCCCATTTCCTCCCCTCCTCTCCCATTCCCCCACCAAATTCTATCCCCTCCTCCCCGTCTTTTGAAGCGAAATCACATCGGTGTGCACTTTTTAACATGGTTTTTTTACATCATAACGGCATATATTTCTCTCAGTAACAATATAGAGAGGAAAAAAAAGCAATTTTTTTCACATATTTGTATAGTTGTAGAAAAAAAAAGTTGCGTAAACGACGACAAACAGCTTTTTTTTTTTTGTTGTCAACTGCATAAACAAAAAAAAAGAAAAAAGAAAAAACAACAACAAAAATAGGGACAAAAAAAACTTAAAACAAATAAATCAGTAAACCTTCTCTCCCCCCAATGCCCACTTTTTTTTTTTTGTTTTATTTCTTTTGTTTTGTTTTGTTTACCTCAAACACAAAATTCAGAATAAAAATATTTGTTATTTAACAAATAAAAAAAAAAAAACTATTAGTTTTTTTGAGTGAAAAAGTTCAATTAAATTAAAAATTAATAAAAAAAAGAAAAAAAGTTTCAAAAGAAAGAATAAGAAATATAAGACGAAGAAAAACAAAAGCCACCTCTGCTCTTTTTGGATGATATCAATAATTTGTTTTAGTATCCTTTCCTCAATGTCACCGTCATTCAACACCGTTGTACTGATGGCATCACTAATTTGTTCATAGTGATCTTCCAGATGTGATAAACGATTGATAATAAACTTAAAATTACACACAATGATCAGTTATATCAATGAAAACATAAGAAAAACCTTAAAGAAGGTTTCTTTTTTTTTTTGAACAAAGAAAAGAACTAATTTCTGGTTTTTTTTGTCTTATTTTATTGATACTGTTTTCTTTTGTTTATTTTTTTGACAAAAAAAAACAGGAAGAAATTGAAATTATTATGACAAAAAAAATGTAATATATTAGCTGTTAGACTAAACTTATTATTCATTTAAACGTGTTGTCTTCATTAAATATGCCAAAACCCTCGTACCAACAACAGCGATACCTATTTTGTCAATAATATGTGACACACTTAGCAGTTATAGGAAAAATTGACCAATTTTAGTTCTTTTTAGCAGTAATAAATACTTTATAGAAAATATCAGTTAACAAACTGATAGAAAACCAATATTTTTGATAAAAATTTGCTTTGAAAAAAAACAAAAAGTTAAATTTTATCTGTATATCTGTAAAATTTATCTGTGCTCTGAACCGCATACATACCTGATAGATGGTTTCATCGTCTTCACTTTCGCAAAGTTCCAATAAATTATTTCTGCATTTTTCTGCTTTCAAAAAACTAAAGAATAATTTCTTTTGTATATGACTAATGTTATAAAATTTTATGTAGTAGCAAAAAAATTCTTTTTTTTTTTTTGACAATATTTAAAGTGTATGTAATTTTTTAATTACTTAATTTTAATTGATTTTACTGATAAAATTAACAACAAATATAGTTGAAAAAAAATTGATAGTAACATTATCTGTAATTTGTTTGAACTAAATTTTTAAAACAATATAAAAATAATTGAGAATCAGAGAAGTTTTTTTTCCCCAACAATTACCTATGATAAGCACCACTTAAATCACCGTTCAGTATCTTTTCATTAACACTTAATTCGCCTGGCGATGGTTCTAATAGAAGCTGTAATGACAGTTCAACACGATCGTTCATCATCAACAGTGTCTTCAAAGTTGCCAACTGCCCAGCCAACATACTGCTATCCGCCAACAGTTGTTGTATCCTACAGAAACAAACTTTTTGGAAACTATCATTACAAATATCTGTCATTTTGGCTCAATCAGTCGTCTAATCGACGCTGATGACACGAGAACAAAGGCAACAAGAAAAATTTTTTTCATTCTTGTAAAGTTTTTCTTTTCGACTAAATTTTTCAGTTTAACGACATTTCAGTAGTGATTGTATGTACAATTGTATATAACTGTTTTAAAATTCTTAAACAAAACACAAAAAAATTTTTTTTTTTCTTTCATTTATCTCGTGGTTTTTTTTTTCAGTTCTTATTTCATTTATTTTCACAATTTTTTCCGTCCTACTTATCACTTTTCAGTCATAACCGTCTTTTCAACTATTAGCAACAAATTAAGCAAAAAATAAACTTTTCTTGTAAAATTAAATGAAAATTTATAACTGAAAAAAAAACTTCGAAAATCATCCAGGTTTTTTTTATAGTTTAGAAATTTTAGCCATCTATCTACTCATCCAATAAACCGTTTTTTTTTTCTCAGATTCCTTCAATCTCACTTTGCTTATCTTATTTTTATATGACTGTAATTAATACATTTCTTTTCAGTTATTTTTCATTTGCTTTCTGTTTGCTGTTGTTCTATAGATTTTTGTTCCTTCTAAACTATCGCTTAAATACAGTCAGTTTTGTAAAGTTGAAATAAAAAAAAAA